GCAATATACCAGTTTTTTAGCCAAAGAACATGAGTATGTTGCTTTGAATTTACTCAACTCAGTTAAGTGGAACCAGGTAACATAACATGGTTAAGTAAATCCAACATTTCATTTTTACAGTGTAGAGAGGCTGAATCTCAGAGGTTTCAGACTGGAGAGTCTGGGGGTGAGGGGGGGCAGAATGCATCTAAAAATAATGGATAATTCAGAGATAATGTTCTTTATATGAGAAGACTGAATRACTCGTCATCTGCGGCTGATAATATCAAAATATTTCAAGATTCTGGAAAAAAAAACTGCGCAAAGGACAAAGGTGATCTTAAAAACAGATCTGATTCTGCTATTGACTTGAGAACACTTCCACAAATCACTGTAAACRCAGTTCAYTGYACYATCTACAAATGCTGGTTAAAGCTCTATCATGCAAATGCAAAGCCAGTATGAGCACCATCTAGAAATTGCGCAATCTTCTTAAGAACTTAAAACAGACTGATCCAAAATGGAAAAAGTGGTCAAAAGGAAACAACATGTCCTTAATACAACAGAGCAGAGTTCAAGAGCCTGCCTCTCTGATGCTATGGGGGTGCATTTATGGCACGGGCAGTTTACACTTCTAGAAAGGCACTTTATCCACAGRCTTCTGTAAAAGGGTATGTAGGCTGCCATGACAGACCACTAGTTTGTTTTTACTTTAACCGGCAGCTTAAACTGTTCGATCACGAGTTCGGSTTTAACTGCTTTTGTCAGCTGCCACGGCAATGGAGAAAATAGAGAAATGCTTTAGAAACATTTTGCCTGGAACAACAAGAAGTGAGAAAGACCTGTCCATGCCCAGCGCCCTGCCTACTGCACTTTATGCAGATGAAGGAGGATYGTACACTTATGGAGCCCTTAAGGTGACAGGGGGGAAACAGATCCTGAATTACTTTTGCAAGATCCTGCAACTCTTTCTCAAGATCCTGAGAGTAAGTCAGGATCCAGAGAAACTTTCTCATGATCCCGACTTACTTAAACATTATTAGCAAATGTGAGTTRAGGTACAAAGTAGTGAAAATACAAAATAACTTCAAGCTCAGTCATCACGCCTGACCAGTTTAACAGAACAAACAAACAAACAAAACTATAAATCTGTAAAGAAAATAAGCAGAAGTGGCAAATTTGAGTGAAATTCTTTTCATGATAAATCCCTTCAAAGGCTTTTATTCATTTATTTTATGTAACGGAATATGTTGATGTCCACTTCTGATATTACAAATAATATTTACAGCAGTTAATCAAACTATTTTATTTTTGTTTTGTTTTTGCTTTTCCTGGAAATTTGGCCAAAACCTACTTTTACGCCCATCTGGCTCCAGAAAGTGCTGGAGATWCTGTTCCCCATCTTAAAAAGAACCAGAGGACCCTGAAGTCTCCATAATATTGACACAGGTGTTGCAGATCATTGAATTCCCCTTCAAATGGAGGAGGCTGTTAGGCTGCAGCCATCCCCAGCTGACCACTGAAATACTTCCTCTATTTCTAAGGGCCCCCCATGACTGTCCGTTTTGACTGATCCCAGCTGTTAATAGCTATGTTCGTAACAATGTTGGTCATGTTTACATGAACCCTGCCTCGCTTTGAAAAACCTTCTAAATCTYTTTCCTGTAAAGCAAGTCATTGTTCAAGCTGTTGACTCTTCATAACCTAAGAAAAATGTGGAGATCTAGAAATTTTTAAAGACATTTTAAAGGATGTTTATTTGGCTACTGTCCGAAGTTTCAGCACTCATCAACTTTCTTCTATAAAGCTGGAAATCGCAGCAAAAACTCTGATATTATACAGGATTTATGAGGCCAGACATGATGGAACAGCCAATCAAGTGGAAATTTTCTTTGCCATCCATCTGTTGTCTACTTTATGCATTTATTTGCCTTTATTTAATCAGTCAAATCCTATTGATATCACAAATCTCTTTTGCAGGGGAGCCCTGGGCCTGAAGGAAGCCTATGTTTCTTTAGTCTGTGGGAGGAAACCAGAGAAAACCCAAGCAAGCATGAGGAGAACATACAAACTCCACACAGAAAGTCCCCCGTCTGAACCAGGAACCCAGGACCTTCTTGCTAGGTATCTGTGCTAACCACTGAGTCGTCTACTGCTTGTTCCAAAATCAAGTCCCGAGAGTCTCTCTGGTCTTCCCCAGGGTGTCCTCCCAGTCGGACATGCCTGGAACACCTCCCTAGAGAGGCATCCAGGAGCCATGTTTACCAGATGCTCCAACCACCTCAACTTGTTCCTCTCAACGTGGAGGAGCAACGGCTCTAATCTGAGTCTCTTCCAAACAACTGAACTTCTCAACATATCTAGGATAGATAGATAGATAGATAGATAGATAGATAGATAGATAGATAGATAGATAGATAGATAGATAGATAGATAGATAGATAGATAGATAGATAG